CATTCTAAGATGGGCGCAGAACTATGGAATCGAGGTAAAGGCTGATAAAAGGCCTGGAGAAGGGCTGGTCTCTGTCTGATGTTCTTCAGTATAGCAATCTAGGATCAATTCATTTTCTATTCTCAATGTTTTGGAACTTCGAAGTGATCCTTTGAGATTGTATTTGCAGGATGAAGTGCAAGAGTACGAATCCAACATGAACGATATGCAAAATGAGATAAGGCAGAACGTGACCGATCTCATAAGCCAGTTGAGCGAGGTCCTGGAACAATACTCCTCAATAATTGATGACGAAGACCAGACGCGTATAGAGAGGAGGAGCGCTCTGAGGAACCTTAGCATCGAATATCCTGAGGTATATCCACATTTGGCACTATTTCGTTTCAAAGAAGTTGCTATCTGAATGAGAGGTTTTTAGGCATATCCCGTCTTGGTGTTCGCTTTTAGCCAATTCACTCCTGAGCCACAAGACGATTCCGATGAACGCCCAGATTGGTCAGGAGAGTTCGATCTTTGTAATCCTCCTCCGCCTCCAGGACCGCAGAATCCCTGTGAGCGCCCACTACCTCCTTACCTCAGAAATCTTACTGAGGAAGCTCGTGATGAGTATTTGGCCATTATCTCGAACAGAACTGAGACGATTGCACAGCAGAAAGAGGACATTCTCACTTGGGCGCAGAAATACGGAGTCGAGGTAAGGATTCTTGAACGGTCTGCAGAAGAGCTAGCCTCTGGCTAATGCTTTTTAATCGAGCACTCTAGAGCCGACTCTTTTTCTAGTCTTGCGTTGATCCGAAACGATAAAAAAAACCTTCGAAATTTCAATTGCAGGATGAAGTGCAAGAGTTCGAATCCAACATGAATGATATGCAAAACGAGATCAGGCAGAACGTGACCGATCTCATAAGTCAGTTGAGCGAGGTCCTGGAACAATACTCCTCAATAATTGATGNCGAAGACCAGACGCGTATAGAGAGGAGGAGTGCTCTGAGGAACCTTAGCATCGAATATCCTGAGGTATATCTGTACTTGGCACTACTTTATTTAAACAAAGTTGCGATCAAGATGAAACGTTTTTCAGGCATATCCCGTCTTGGTGTTCGCTTTTAGCCAGTTCAGACCTGGGCCATTCGGAGGCGACGACAACAATCCAGATGGAAGCTCAGGGGAGTCACCACAAAACGATTTCAATGGACTACCTCCACCTCCACCACCAGGAGGAGGCGGCCCAGGTTGGTCAGGAGAATTCAATCCTTGTGATTCTCCTCCGCCACCAGGACCATGGAATCCCTGTGGACGCCCTCCTCCACCAGGACCACGAAACCATTGTCCACCACCTCCTCCACCCCCACCGGGATCATTTGATAACTGTGGACCTCCTCGCCCAGGAGGAGATCTGATGGGACCATGGGATCCTCCTCCACCACCAGGTAGGGAGCAGTATTTTCTTCGACAAATCATAACGAATTATTCATACTAATTAATTGCTATAACTCTCGTTTGAGATACTGGATCTGGTGACGATGAATGGGAAGACTGAAGAAACTGCTGTCGGCATCACATCAATTTGATGAAGTCTCGACACTTATCATCCCGTGCTGTTCAATGATGTATTGTCAATCATATAAAAATACAAAGGAGTTAACCTTCCCACATCAGAGAGGGAAGATCAGCTGCACGCACCCCCGAGGAAAAGCAAGGAAAGAAAGGAATCGAGTAGAGTTATGCAAAGAACATGAATATCAAAGGAAGGAAAAATTGGCAGCACGCGACATCCCATAAGGAAAGTCGACCAGTCTTCATCAGAGGTGAAAATTCAGCATGTGAAGCTCACTTCGAGTTTCTTCACTAGTACTCTTCCTGTGGACCATGTATCACTCTATCATTCTATAACATTCGAATTGTTTCCCGGGGAAATCCTAGAAAAATAGTTGGAACTTTAAAATTTTCCAGTACTAAGTGTATAAGATGGCGGTGGCAGAATCAGACGGAACCATGTTTATTCCAAATATGATTTTCCAATAATGCGAAGTAATCTGGACGTTGCCCATCGAGCTACTTGTGCAGCGGTGGTTATGGCGGCGACGAAAGCTGAAACGAGAAGGTATACACACTCAGGCTGAGTCCACGAGAAGGCAACGGGTTAACAGAAAGAGAAACAATCAAAATGGGACCGTGGTCAAGGCTATCCTAGCCCCAATTTTCCTTACGTACAATTGGCAATTGTTGGCAAATTGCCATCCTTGATTGAAGCCACAGTGAATATGTAGTTACTGCTTACCTCTCTCTACTAGGTGTCAAAGGCTTCTACTTGATGTATGAATAATTCCTGGTCTCTATAGAATCCCAAAAAGTGTAATTAATTCTTAAGTAGGGTTTTTAGGAAATCGGGGAGGAAGGCAGTGTAAGAAGTTGCGGGAGATAATAGCAGAGCACCAGAAGCACCACAACGTTGCCTCTATGTCCACATGCTCCAAAGAGTTTCAGTGGGCTCTGAGTGAGGTTCCTTTCAAGAGCACAAACGATTGAAACGATGACTACTAATCGGGCTACAATTTTCAAACCCACCAAGACATTTTCAAACCAACAGCACTGCCTCTTATAGCGATCTCCGATTAGCCAGAGATGGTTCCGACTTTTTTTTTATAAATATTCTATTAAGGACTAAGAAGGCACTTAACTGATTGCGTTTGAACTTACCTCTTTCCTCAATTTATCCATTCTTTCTTCGTGCTGTCTTGCCACATCCTGAAATGAAAGTAGGTAGTTTCGCACGGGAGTTGCTTACTTTCCTTACTTGTTTGGATTGTAATGGACAGCAATCTATCTCAAAGATGTGATTCGATGGGTTGACTCGGTATTCAGCTGAACAACCTTTCCTGGTCCTTATACATCTTAGAGGATTGCTGGACTACCTTCAAAGGTCAAACTTTGGTGGTAGGTTATTGAACCTACAGATTCTGTGAAGGAGCTTGACTATGACGGCAGTATCGAAAGACACCCAATCCGTCTATGGAGGGGAACATTTATAGAGGTAATCAGTCAATAAAGAGTGAATACGGTTCAAGGGGCTCTTGCAGAGCCGAGTTGGAGAGCTAAGTTGTAGGGATAGAATAATTTTGTACCATAGGGCTAAGGACCAGCAAACTCCACTCCTGACCGGTTCAGTGGATCGAAAAGCTTACCTCGAGACCGTGTTTCGATCCCCATTGTAAAATAGCTGCCTTTTTTTCTTCCGGTTCTAGGGTATGATTTTTAGCTATGTCCATAAACTCCTGGCGAACAGTTGCGTTGAGTTTATCGAGGAAGTCTGGTGGTTTCATTTCCTCATCATCATGGGCACCAATCATGCAGAATAAAACGCAAGCAGTGAATACAAAGGCAAAGGTGATGTTCATCCTGAAATGTAAGTTGTTATGCAGCACAAATGGCAGTCACAAAAGACAAGAACAAATGTAAAAAATCCGCAAAGTAAAGTGGAGTACTTCTTAGAATTAGGTGTGCACCCTACATGCATGGTCGAAGGATCCTTTCCTGGATCGATAGTCGCCCAACCCGATCGAGTCTTCTACCCATCCGGGGTCAGTTAGTTGGAATCGGACTATCGGGGAAGACAAGTGCATGGTTGGCCACCACAAGTCACTGAATAGGCCACCAGGCATTCAAAACTCCACTAAGATTCAGAGCAGAAGTTGAATGAGGAAGCATAGCTCCCAAGGTTCCGGCTTATTCCACCCCAAATACGGGACTGAATGACGCAGGAAACTTTCTCCTTTAAACTTCTTTATGCGGCTGTTGAGGTATGGCCATGGTACGAAGCGATATATACTGGAATTAAGCAGTAACTAAGGCTCTTTGGCTCTTCGGCACTGAGAATACGTGAATGGAAAAGAAGCAGGAGAGCTATGAGGACGATTGAGATGACAACTAACAGAAGATGATATATGTGAATGAAGATGATGATGGAATGTTAACAGCTGATTGAAGTGATGAAACCTCTCAGAACCAGGGATGAAAGAGAGAGAGAGAGGTGAAAAAGGTAGATGAAAAGAGATATGCATAATACACGAAAATCACCCTTTCACAAGTATCGGTTTTTATATACCCCAATTTCGTTGTTAATCCTCAACTGCTCCACTCCAGTACTCGTGGATTTGCAGAGGAAAATCCTCTGATCGCCTTTTCACTATACTTATCAACTGTCAGTTGAGCCTAATTCTGGGAGTAACACAGCTTTGAATGCCCGTTAACCGTGGCTAAGCATTTTGTACCATTTTTGCACCAAAAATCTGAACTACTGCGTAATTGCTACTGTGAAGTAACAAAACGGACTGAATCAGCCTTGAACTTTAGAGGAAAATTGAAACCTTGTGCAGTATTCCGATTCCTCTTCAATGCATAGCCATGAGCTGTCAAGCGATCGCCTCCGTTCCACACTGTCTAAAATCTTCTCCAAGTTCAAAAGGAAATGTAAATAAATAAGCAATTTAATAAATAGGTACGGTTGACTCTAAATTACAAGTGCACTCGTGCAACGTATCATGTATCATCATATCGTTCTCGATTTCCTACATTCCATGAGCAAGGTTGCCCTACATCTGAGGAATCTGCCTGTTGTCTATTCAGACTCATGACCACTAGTGAAGTGAGATCCCACGACCAGTTGGTATAGTTACTGAACAGTTAAGTTATTTGGACTAGTGTTACAGACTACCATCACAGTCACTCGAGCTCCCCCATCTAGTCATTTTCTACAGCTCCTTAACTCTCTTATACCATCAAGTTATACTGCGGACTGGTGCAGCCGATAAATCACCAAATAGGTGAATGAGTGTATAGATATCCAGCATTCCCCCTGTTGGCTCACACTGATGATGAGCAACCACTCCCCAAGGGCGAATCTACTTTCCCACCTGTGTTTCCGGGACATTCCACCCCCACCTCATACTGAAGTTGTCGTCTCGTTCTGTTTACATGTCATGTAGCATTGATGTCACAGTGGGAGCTGATAATACTGTTCCGATTCCCTTCTGATAACAGATAAATAAAAAACAATTTCTGGAACTTCTGAAGAAATACCTGTTCACATCTGTTCTGATCACAGGAAAGGACGACGCTGCACTCATCCTAAAATAGCTTCCACTTGTTCTGCTCAGGGAAAGAAATATCCAATCAATTCGATCAGCAGAATGAAACGAACCATATTTAGAAGGCCCAGAAAAAAGCCATTCATGACCTTTGTCGCATTCCATTCGTCTAAATCTTAGAACTTTTACAAGTTATGTTGAGGAAGGTTGAAACCACTATCAGGTGTCAGAAGCGAACAACACGACTGATGAGCAATTCTGAAAGCACTAGCCTTTCGTCCTTATTAAAAATCTCTGACTTATCAGTACTGTTATAAAATTGCCCATAAACATTACATCGATGGAATGGCATCAGAAATCGGCCTCCAGACGGCACAATAACTAACCAATCCATCGAAAAGATTCCTATTCCCTTTGTCGTTTGTTCCATCGACAGCCTCATTTCCGGCCTGCTCCATACTTTTATCCTCACTCGCGAAGTCTTCACCAACCCCTCCGTCTTTTGGAAGTGTAAGCAATTAGTCTGACTTAGTCAAATTGAGCCATTATACCCAGACAGTTTTCGATATCTTGCCAAACCTAAAACAACAGGACCTCTTCGAAGAGATAAAAACCTCGTTTAGAGGAGCAAACTTGAAAGCCTCCGAAACATTCAGGAATCCACTTAAAATTCAGTCCACTATAGTTGGTTTTTTGGTTCAGGTTTCACGGGCTCCTTTATAATTCATCCCTTTAATTCCACATTTCGTATGTCTAGCATCAATTTTTCTTAGTCGAATCTAGCTTCTGTAGCATCAGTAGCATATTATATTTGTATATAAAAGCGCCTCCCAATAGGGTCCATCTTCTTTTTTGTGACTCCCTGGAAGATTTCAGAAAGCTAAATCGTTGTTGAAGCAATTAGGACTAGACCTGAAGGTCACTTCTCACAGATTTCAGTCATTTGGGAATGGGTGAAAATTGCGTTGAATAATTCAGGATGAAGGTCGCNCCAGGTGGTGCATTACGAAACTTGCGAAACCGATAGCAAGATTTACGGAATCGGTTGCAAAGTTTACAACATGAAATGCCAAAATCTTTGCATATGCGAACAGAATGGGAGCAGAGTTGGTTCCGAGCCTACGATCTTGACTGCAACGCTTTTGAGCTTCGGTGCAGAACCCTCCTGCGAGCTATACGAATAAGGTTAAATTGTTTCAGCTGTTCCGTGTGCTAAGGTTCGCCATTGATCAATTCCAACCGAGACATGGCCTATACGAAGATTGTCATCACCATGGTCGACACCACCGTTCACATCATCACGACTATGAAAGATGGCGGAGATCTGTGGTAGACATCGACAAGGTTCCACCTTCAAAAGATTAACCGAGGAGAATAATATTGACTTTAGCTTGATTGGCTATGCTCCACCTTGTGTATTCATATCTGCCATAATACCACAGTTCAAGATTTGAATTGAAGTTTATGTGTCTCAAAATAGTCGTGCCTTTACGAGAATACTAATAAAGTCTTCTAACACTCTGCTTTGCACCTCTGTTTAGATATCTTTTCAATCAAACTGGAGCTGCGTACTCTTATGTGTTTTGGGAAAAGTTCACTCAAATCAAAGTGCAGTTAGTTGGCTCTTTTTGGAAAAGTAAAAACCGACCAGAAGAGAGTATCAATGGTTTGAACCTTTGCAGCAATCCGCGGCGATGATACCTCTTGAAATGTCACCGTTTTTTTATTCCCTTCCCCAGTACTCGGTATCTGCATCTGATTGGTGGAAAACGAGTATCTTAACTACTTAGAGCATCTGCCCCGAACAGGTTCTTTATGTGACTCTATTTTGCCTGACGTTCCAACAACTTCGTCGTCCTCGGGGTCATGACAGCATTCCATAACTTTGGAATGC